TGTAATTTTGTATTTTCAATTTGTAACCATATTGTATTTTTTATATTTTATTAATTTATTCCATTTTTATATTTCATTCATCAAATCCAATCATTGTATTTGTAATTCACTAATTTGTACCATTCAAATTTAAATGAAATAAAATTTCTATTTTTCTTCCAATTTGTTATTCCATCATTCTTATTTCAGTTTGGTTAAGTATTTTTTTTTATTTATGTATTAAATAACTTAGATTTCTCATTTCTTAATTTTTAAATAGTTTCTAATTCCCAAAGTTCATAGGAAAGTTAAATATTTTAGTTTTACAATTTTACTTAGAAAAGAAATCAAAATTAAAAAAAAAAAAACAATACAGCCCAATTCGGCCTAGGCCCAAGGCCCACCCTATGGCTCAGCCCGGCATGGTCCAAGCCCACGGCACGGCCTGCAGCCCGGCCCTGCCCAGGCCCACGTGCCGGCACGGCACGAGCCCGCTTGGGCCTGGGTTGTGGGCCGTGCTAGGCTGAACCCCAAAATTTCCATCAGGGAGGACGGCATGGCCCACTTTACACCTCTACTCTAAACCAGATCGTGAACGTCTCTAATAAATACAATATGAATGTCAAGTGTATTATACATATAATAAAATTGAATCAAATCATGATCAATAGGGATAGATTCATATTTTTTCCAATTATGAACAGATTGATGATGGGATAGTCCAATTTTCACATGCATGGCATATAAAATATAAGCTATCTGGTACTTTCATACCAGTGAATCATTGTTGCCAATTCTACAGAATTGGAAATTTTAAATCTACTTAGTTTTCAGATTCAGCTTCACTATGCAATTCAACCTAAACAAAGAACTAACTGAGGGGTGACTAAGTTGGGAGATCAAATCAGCCCCCCACAATGTCCCACAGCACATCTCCGCTGTATATTGGAAACATTTTCCGATGATGACAGATGTTCCCAATACACGAAGGAAATGTGCTGTGGGACGGTGGGGCAATCTTGTGGGAGGCTGATTTGAACTCCTCAGTTGTTAGTTGGTACAATAGTACATTAGTTGGATGGTTCCAACAGAGATGTGGATTTAAGTCCTGTTACCATCTAGTTTAAAGAAGAGTTATTAGTGTGTTGCTATTGTAATTCCATAAAAAGTAAAAAAAAAAATTTCAGGCATACAATTAAATAAAAAAAAAACTAAACAAAAGATTTGATGAATTTGCAGAATTTTAATCACATTCTGTTCCTAGCACCACATTCCATTATATATTATTAATAATATATAAATAAAATATTATAAAATATCTATCCAAATCGGATTTTGGGCTTTGTATAGGACCGGGCTTGGGCTTGGGCATGGTCATTTTCTATTTTTATAAAGAAACAATGTTTGGCCCAAACCCAGCCCGTGAACAGGTCCACTTATCACACCGTATATGGTGGAAATCTTTAATTAATTTACCCTTTTTTTAAGTTGAAAAACCCCATGTGCTATACTCTATTGACTTAGGCCAAGAGTCACATACATCGAAACCATTAATTGATATCTCTCATTACTAAAATGCCCCCTGTAGTTTTATTAATTTACTAAAACTTACCCTATAATTTGTGTTTTATTAAAACATCCCATATGGTTTGTTATCAATTTACTTAATCCACCTTTCATTGCATAAAAGTGGAAAAGGACAGTTTTGACACTAACATCCATTCAAATAAATTTAATCAAAGGAAATTAAAAACAAAAATGTCATTTTTGCCCCTAATAAAATATAGACAACCATTCTATTTTTCTCTATTTGGTCAATTTTTTATATATATAAAATAGTGTTAGGAGTACTTTTGGAATAAAATAACCATGGATCCATACCCTTGAACATTTTCTCCTCAATTTAAAGGTACTTTTGGAATAAACAACCAATGATCCATTCCCTTGAACATTTTCCACTTAGTTTAAGTGAACATATTACTATTTTTATCTGACAAAATAAATAGTTCTTAATAAAAGGCCAATTAAGTAAATAAGTTGCAAACTATAAAGGGTGTTTTAGTAAAATGAAAATTATAGAGTAGGTTTAAGTAAATCTGTGAAACTAAAAAGGGTGTTCTAGTAAATGACCTTTTTTTTAAACTTCAAGCAAAGATCGACATAGCCTTCTATAATTGATTAATTTCTGAATTCCTGACTCATCTTAATATCATCATTTAGCTTAAATTACAAGTCTGATCAAGCTTCCTGTTTCCATTTTATATATGTAGCCCAAGATTATATTACTGCAATAATAAATTAGTATGTCTGCAAGAAGAAGCCTCTGTGTCGATGGCGAACAGGAGGATCAGATTATGAACCATTTCCCTGAGGAAGAAGCCACAGATTCCCGTCAATGTAAGAGATATCAATGAAGGGAGCTGCCTCAGAATGGCTCAGTTGTCTACTGTATGATGTCCTGAGCGTGTAGTTTGCTCCTGGTCCTACACACTCGTATTCCCCAAAGAAGACATTCCTGTCACACATACACTGATGAAACAATTAGCTATAACTTGTGAAGGGTTAGAACTTGATTGATTAAGCAAAGGAAGATGTATGTATATATAGCAAGTAGGATCATCAACCACAGACTGGTCTCTAGAGGGGTCATTCCAATCGTTCCATCCTTCTGGAGCTATGATGTCCGCCATGAATGTTCTGGCAAAGACAACTGAAGCAAAGCCTCCCCAAGCTCGTCCCAGCCACACCCTTCCTGTTCCACCAATGCTGCAATTCACAAAGGAAAACCCAGTTCTCGCATTCATGGACTGCCTCCCATGTGCTGTGATAGCTCCACTGATTCCCACGGAAACCTTCTTAGCTATCAAGTCGATTGTGCAATCCTGATCACCATGATAACATAGCTATTGTCAAGCTCAATATATAGATGTAGCCATTTCCAGTGAAAACTAAGAGCTCGACAGGATTTAATTTATACCTCATAAAGAGATCTGGCATTCCCAAATATGAAGTCTATGGAGCCTTGGATGAAACATTCTTTGAAGTAATGCCTCCCCCTATCATCCAGAAGCGTGTCTTGGGCGCCATAAAAGCCACAACGATAAAATGCAGCTTGGTCACCTGCAATCCTCAGTGCTATTGCCTGACCACCGACATCACCAGGAGATGCTGAAGGAGCTGTATTCTTCAGCCACATTACCCAAATTGAAACCAATTAATGAAGCATGGAAGAGACAGATTAATTGGTTGTGCATGATTCATTGATACGAGCATGGCTGAAACAAAACAATAATAAGGACAGGAGGGAATTAGGTACATTAATTACCTGAAAGCTAATGTCATAAGCTATGAAGTTGGAAGCAAAAATGGCAACTGAGGAGCTGTAAACCGTCCCTCCTGTGGAGTTTGCAGTGTCATTCCATGCTATGGATGTATTGAGATAACCTTGGCCTTGGAATATTAAATTTGTCTTGTTAGTTCCCACAACCACCTTCTCCCTGCAACCATATAAGTTCACCAAAACTTCGTCATCATCTGCAATTAATTAGAGATTACTAACTTGTTCTATTTGTCTATCTATACCATTATTTAGTGCTTTCTTATTGCCCCAGTTCACATAGAAATACCCAGATGAAACTCATCATGTTCAATGAAGACCAATTAGGAACTTAGCCAAAATTAGATATAGATGGATCTATCTGGTCAAGTTTTAGTTGAAGTATAAATTGGAATGAGATCGTTTAAATTAGTTAATTTAGTTACTTGAGTCTTGACAGCAGCCGATCGATGACAGAAGAACAAATTAATTTGACGCAGGAGAATAACTGAATGAATAAACCATGCAATTATATATGTAATTTAGGCTAGCACGAGTAAATTAAAACTTAGAATTGATGGAGACCTGTAAACGCCAGAATCAATCAAGATGAGAGTCCTAGTGGGGCTACGGTCAGGAGCAGCATCTACTGCCTTCTGCACACTACTGAAGTTTGCGCATCCATTCAAATCCACCGTGAAGACAAGAGAGATGTTGTAGCCTGAGACGAGCCAAGAAAACCACTTGGCCTCGTCGCAGACATCCCCACGCCCCCTCCCACGGCGGTGGTGGTGATGGCCTCTCCTACGGATAATGCGCCTAAGGAGTGAAGAAAACACATCTACGCCACTTTGGTTGAGGCCCCTTTTGAAAATGGCGCCAAGCTCAAAGCTATAATATGCACTGCTAATAAGGCTGCTAGGAGAAGAGGAAGAAGGGATGGTGGTGGTGGTGGTGGCAAGTAGAATGGAAAGAAGTGCAACAGAGAAGGCTGAAAACCAAAAGAAGAGTTTGGTTTTTCTTGTCATGATGGAGTTGTTAGGATGGTTGTTGTAGCTCATGTCCATCGATCGACGTTTATTTTGAGTTTGGTGATGGTGGGGTGTGGACAAGTTCGACGACAGTTGTACTGTTTTATCTGCGTGGAAAGTTGAGTGCTGGCTGGCGTGAGAGGTAAGGAACGCCATGTGTAGTGTGTCTAGAGAGAGAGAGATGATCACAACAGTTTTTTAAAGTAAGTAGTGGAGGGTGGTGGGCTGTACAATACAATAGTGCTAGTGCTGGTAGGGTTGGAGGATGAACACGCAAGGTGACTCTATAGAGAGAGAGAATGGTTAATTATGATGAATGCAGAGATACAGTGAGAATGTTTGGCTGTTGCTTCTTGACTTTTCAGGTGGGATTATGGCCTGTTGAGTGTTGAGAATATCTGAAAAGGATGAGCTAACCTGCTTTGCTTATGCAATGATCATGGGATATGGTAGGCATTAAGTTTTTAAGGCTATGTTTGGTTAAAATTCTGCTTCAAGGAATCACGATTCTTTTTTTTTTTTTTAATTTTGAGAACACTGTTATGTTAGTAAATCCAGACTTAAAAGTGATTCTTTTAATCAAAAAGTTCATCAGAACTAATTATCTCAAGGCATTCCAAACGCACCTAAGCCTTTATTCATGAGCCGACCCGGCTGCAGCCTGCGACTGCAAGTGAGGCGGTTCACTTTTTTCATTGATTTGAATTGAAGTTTGGCCAACCAAAACCGCTCAAAAGGACTGGAATAAAGTTGAAAAGCACGTTTAAGGGAGACTTGGGTCACTTATCTCTTATCTGCAACTCAATGACAGTGGAGAACCCACCAAATGGGAAAATAATTCTTCCCTCCATCAAGTATCAACTATTTCGATGATCTCAGTAGGACTCATTTTGTCTGTAAGGCAAAGAACCAGGGGAGAAGCAGGTTGGAACTAGTCAGTATTCAGCCATGGACAATAGAAAATCAAAACTGTTAACACCCAAAGAGTGATTAATCCATGAAGCACACATTCGGATGACAGAATTTTGTCTGGCCACCATTTCCCACACCGCTAAGGCTGCAACTTGGGTAGGGTTAGCCAGAACTCAACCCTAACCCTACCCGAAAAGGTCGGGTAAGGGTTAGGGTTGAAAGTTATGAAGCTGATATTACTTTGGGTTGGGTTAGGATTGACATCTTGGGCAACCTGAACCCAACTTTATAGTACACATCATATATAAATATATGTCATAATATCATTTATTCCATTTAATATAATCACTTCACTTAATTGTAATTGGAAATACTAAACCTTGATAACAATTTTTTTTTCTGAATTTTGTACTTAAAGAACCAATGAAAACATCAACAAACAAATACTAATAAAACATAAGATTAATATATGTAATGAAAATTGAGTTAAGATCTAAGATTAAGAAGTTTTACGAGATCTTAAGGGATGGGAAGAAGGTTGGGTTGGGCCCAATCCAAAATTGGCTTTGGATTGGGTTGGGTTAGGGTTGAAAGAATTTAGTTAGGGTTAGAGTTAGGGTTGGATAGGTCGGGTTGAAGGTCAAGTTAGGATTGGGGGTTTAGAACTTAGGGTTGGCCTAAACCCAACCTAACCTGACAATTGTAACCCTACACACCGCGATGAATAGCAAGAAACATCCAGAGATCGGTTCAAAGTAAATGTAGATGGTGCAACGACCACGAGCCCACGAGAAAAGCAAATAATGTTGTCATTAGCTGTGATTCATTGGGTAAATTGAGGTGTGTAACCTTTGAACCGGGTTTTGATGAATGAAACCAGCCTGGGAGCTTTCAAAAGAATTATTAATTCAAGGAATCTATTACTATATATAAAAGGGGAAAAAAATGAAGCTAGTACCAGTCTAAACCATATGTCTAATGCTGTCTTCATATCTGGTCCAACCGGAATTCAACCTAGCCCTACCTAAATTGAAAATAAAATAGGATTGGGTGATAATCTGGATCAGAGTTAAAAATGCAAATTTTATATAAAGTTGGGTTGGATTAAGTTTTTTTTTGTTTTTATTACTGAATCATCACCTTGTGCTCTCATAGGGGCCGTATTTCATTTTTTTCTTGACATAGTATAGCACTTTTTTAGCAACAACCTAACATATCTTCTCAAAGGTGTGGTGGGAGCCGATGTGGGGACTCAAAACTGTATCTTTTCTGGGACTATCCAGTTTACGTACCAACCGAGTCTCTCATTCGGTTGGATTAAGATTGATGTATTAGCTAACCTGACTGAATCCGAACACGATATATTACACTTATATGCTCTTATTCACTATAAATCATGTATGTACTTGAGAGGGGAAAGAGAGAGAGAGAGAGACGACAAAGGTTGCTTTTTTGTGAAATAATAGTATCATATGATGGCCTGTATCATTACCATATGCTAGCATGAATATGAATTGATGGCATGCATTCATGCATGTGTTTCTGAATTTGGTGGATAAAGGCATAAAGCTTCATCCCAAATCCAACCAACAACATGATCTCATGATTGGGTTGCATATTGACCCTTTGATCCATAAAACCCGGCTTTTGATTAAAAAAAAAATTACTGATTTGATTAAAAGTAAAACCATTCAAACCGGGTAGTTGAACGTTGGCCCGTTTGATCCGGTCACCGGCTGGATTATAGGATATACACTAAAACTTCTGAAGACCATAGTTTTGTGTTTGATTGGCCCATTTGGGTGATCTTTATATTGATTTGGGATAATTTTTCAACATCTATGTGTCGAAAAGCATTCTCTATTATTTTTGTCAAAAAAACCCTTTTTTTCATCTCAAATCTCAAAGATGAAAACGGTTCAGCCTCTATCAGTTTTAAAAATACTGATTTTTTTTTATTATTATAAAGAGGGGTTAGAGATTAATCCAAACTCATATTATGACCAAGTAATAGGTTAATTGATTTGGCCAGATGGATAACAATAGGTTGAAAAAAAGAAACGAAAAGAAAAACCGGTTGCAACTCTTATTCGGGTCCATGATCAACATTTTATTAAAGTTAATTTCCTTAGGCCGAGTTTGGAAGGAGTACAAATGCAAATATATAGAAATATGTACATAAAAATACTCTACGTATTTGTACTTCTAACAAAATGCGCCTATATTTTTGAGACTTTTCAAATTCAAATTTGTTTATCTAATCGACTCAAATGCTCTCTTATTAAATCTTATATTAAAGTTAGTGTAAATTATAAAGACCCCGTTGTACTATGGGGTCATAACAAAGACCTCCTATACTTTAATTTGTGACAAAGGCCCCTTGAACTTTAGTCATTAGACAAAGACCCCATTTGTTAGTGTTTTGTACGTTATCTTTGAAAATGATTCTCATCTGACTATTTACAATTTTGTAAATGCCCAAACTACCCTTTTTGAATTTATTTTACCTTTTTCTTTAATTTATATAATCATCTTATTATTTTTTAACACCTAACAGCTTAGCACTTATGAAACCCACCTCCTCTTTTTTCTATCATCACTATCACTGGAAACCCATCTTTCATTTTCAAAGTTAAATACGACAATAAAATCTAGCTCACAACCTTTCTCCATCATCAACACAACCCAGAACTGCCGCAAAACACCAGCCCCCACCTGCTTCATTTGCAATAATGCCCTTTCCTAAGCCTATCTTGGAATACTGCCTAATGACTTCATCTTTTTCTAGCCATTGCTCTGGTAAAAAATATGACCAGTCTAAGCCCCACAAACACTCCATCCTTTCCCTTATTAAATGAATTACAGAAAAGGGAAAAGATGGTTTTTCTTATTCTCCCTATCCTACTCAGGAAAATATGGCTTAGATGCTTAGTTGAAATTTGGTGGAATTTCTCATGTTGGGACAGGCTGCAGTGATGAGTATCGAAAGTTCTTTCAAGTGGAAGAAATACCCAAAATAGGGAAAACGTTGGAAGATAGAATTTGAAAACTCTATAAAATCTCTAGGGTGGTATGAACAATGCTATGCTAATTTAAGGAGTTGATCTTTGTCCCTCTTGATTTTGTTCGATTAATTAATCGTTTTTTTTTTCTTTTATAACTTTTCATACAATGCAACGAGGTTCTAGAAAACATAACAGGAACTTGGCAAATAATCTAAGATTGAAGATTAAACAGGGGTTGATTATTCACTATTGGAATTGTGTTCTTTTTTTCCAACATTTTCCTAATCGTCTTGATGTTCTCAACGATTAGAGTTTCTTCACTCAAGGATTCATGGCATTCAAAACATTGTTCCTTTTATAGATGCCTATATAAACTATGCAGAAGCATAAGTGGTTAGAAAATTTTCTTTTGGTCAAATATCGGTGGTTGAGAGGGATTTGAATTCTTATATGGAAACTTGAATCATTGATAGACTATGTCAGCATTTGACTTCAAAAAACTGAGGTCATAACATGTCCTGCAACATACTCTACTATCACGTTGTCCCCCAGGAATATCAGTATCTTCCATAGTCACACTCTGATCATCGATGATGTTAGTGGTGTCAACGTATCCTTTTTTATACTACTTTAAAAGTAGTAAGAATAAATTGAGGAAGCTTCATAGCTTTTTGTCGGTTAACTACAAATACTGAAAATTTTATTGCTTATATTTTGATATTCACTCACGCCAATCTTAAATATTTTGATCTCTCCACATAAGGCCATACCATATAATGTCATATACCCACAACATCACAGCTATCTTTACTTTGCTAACTACACCAACTCTCTACGTTGGCGCCAACTGCATCATAGCCATTGGACCGCGTTTTTAGGTTTGCCCAAGCACTAGGTTTTCTGCAGGACTGCATTGTGGCAGTATCTTTGGGTAAAATGGGCTTATCCGCAAGCTCATTAGAGATCGGGAACACATCCCCATATGTGATCAACTTCTTTTCTAGCGACAATCAAGGTATTTTTGGGTCTGTGAGGTTTTAAGAGAAAATGATAAGAATAAAAGAAAATAGAGAAAATTTAAATGGGTATTTCGGTAATTTAACGCTTTCTGTCATTTGACTTAATGACTAAGGGAGTCATTGTCTAACGACTAAAATTCAGGGGGGTCTTTGTTGCAAATTAAAGTATAAGGGGGTCGTTGTTATTGACCCCATAGAGAGTGGTCTTTGTAATTTACCCTAACGCTGTATTTGGTTTGAAAGAAAAAATAGGGAAAAGAAGGGTAACCTTTACAAACCTTGTATAGGTTTCCCTACCTTTCCCTTCCTTTCTCTTCCTTTTCCTTCAAACCAAACATAGCCTAAAGTTATCAATTCAAATTCAATTTTGTTTATTTAATTAACTTCAATTACCTCTCCTAAGTAACTTTCTCTTCTCAATTGCTCGCCACTAACTCTCTCTCCTCTCAATAATTCCATTAAATTCCCTAATCAACTTTATACTAGATTTAAATACAAACATCTAAGCTGAGACAATAAATCTATTACCATGTCATGCTTCATTCACTTATTATAACTGTATGAGTCCTAAACTATAGTTGTAATTATATTTCCTTTTCAGTGTATGGAAATCAACAAATTTTATAAAAAAAGGGCAATACCCAGTGTTGGTTCCAACAATCTGGGTTCTTGGGAGAGTAGATTGGATACATTCTTAATTAATTTTTGGTATTTTGTTATCACAAAGTGGTTGCTCTCAACATTCAAACCTACATTCTTATGCTTGTCAGTCCAAGGTTTTAACATTATACCAAGTAATGGTACATATATTTATATATATTGCATGGTTTTCAAAATCGGACTGGACTAGACGGTTGAACCAGAAAAACCGAGAATCAATCATTTGACCGGTTCCGTTTTTCCCCAAAACCATTGATTTTGGTCAATAAGCCGTTGTACCGGCCAATTAATCGTTCGAATGATTTTGACCATTTTTTTAATTTTTTAATTTTTTTTGTTAGAACAGGCCAACCGTTCAGGTCGAACAGTCAGACTGTTCAAACCAATAATCGGACCCCTGACCGGTTCAGTTTTAAAAACCATGATATATTGACAACAATTGTATCAGTTTAGTAAGAATTAGGATATACATGAATTGATGCATACTTAAATATTTTTACATTTTTCAACATTTTCTACTTGTTTCCCAGTATTTCTCACTTCAGATAAACAATTATGTGTTTTCCAAGTTTGTACACCTATTTATATGCATCTAAAACCTAAATTTAGTATCCTTGCTTGATGTAAATGTTGAAACTTATTCGAGTTTTCCCAATACATTCCCTTCTCTACTAGATAACAAAAAGAGGTCGATCTCCATTTGGAGAAAACGTTTTTGCAAAATTCCTTGAGCAAACAGCGTAGGCGCCTGAAGGCCCACCGAGTGTACAAGGTTGAAAACGTAGGATATGAAAATTGGAAACTGATGAGTCGAGACATCTTGGATCAGTTATGAGCACTTTTGTATGGTCTATTTCTGGACTGAATGCAATTAGCCACCGTTTGGGCTGGAATCACACCAACAAGCACTTAAATGCGCTTGTGTTTGGTAAATAAGCTCCAATAAGCGTTTTTCAGGAAACAAGCCCATTTTGAATAAGTTGAAAAGCTTGGCCCGCCGTGTAATTTTCAAAATACCCTTTTGGTTAAGGCATACTACCCCCATTTGAAAGCACTTTCTCACCACTTATCCTCTAAGCACTCCCAAACGGAGGCTTATTTTATAATGATGATTCAAGAATCCTCTTCTGTTCGCAAGGGAACTTGGTTCCAGACCGCGCCACAGGCCCACGCTTTGGATGGAGGAGAGACTCCGTCCAAGTGTATCAAGTATAGAGAAAGTGTGAAACCATGAGAAAGAAAGACACTTGCGTTAATGAAACATCAGAAAAAAAAAGGATTACAAAAGAGGGACAATCATCCCTCAGGTCACAAAAGAAAATACCGCTGTTAAAGCCCTCCGCCCATCCCAGTTACAGAAAGAATAGAATTCCCATTGATGACCAATATCTGGTCCTAGTTTGTATTTAATCTATTGAATAAGCTTTCATTTTTTATAGAAGTAATGTTTTTGGAAGGCGGAAGGACTCTGTCTCTTTCCTGTACATTATCAAAACACAGATCCTTCCCTGTACATTTTAAGTTAAAAGGCGTACAAAAAAAAACCGTCACTCTGCAATTAGCTTCTACAGGATGGCATGTCAGCTGACCTCAGTCGGTTTACCAATTATCCGACACCTGGGGACTGGCTTTTGTAACATGGCTGTCCCTTGAAACGTCATCATCTGGCAGTCCTTTCTCAAATTGCTCAACTGCAATGAAAAAATATGGGGAGAAAACTTAACACTGTAATTCCATTTCACCTGCAAGCAGGTACGCATAGAACCACGGAGGAAAAAATAACAAATGATGAATGCAGTCACCTCGTCTTGGGGTATTTTTGTGAAGCCAAACTTTTCTGTCCATATGGACTCTGCTTCATCAGCTGCAGGTAGGACAAGGGTCTTCACATTTAGGAACCCCAGCAACCTCTCAATGCAAGAGAACAATGACTGGAAGTAGCCCTATAGAGAAGCTCAGGAGAAGAAAATGGTCAGGATTTTTCCCTCTTTTGCTAGTTTAAAAAAGGGGAGAAAAGATAACCATGACAACATTCCCACTGACTTTTTTTTTGAAAATAGGTAAGGCAATCAACTATTTTATTAATGAAGTGATGAATTCAGTACAAAAGCCACCAACCATAAATTGCTAAAACCATCACTAGGAAAAGCTTGACAATAATCTCTTGGGAGTATAAGTTTACCTACCTTTTCTTTCAARCCAAAAACAACCTTATTGAATACAAAACTGAGTTTAATGCAATAATACAGCGAACTCTTGTGATTCACTCAAGACAAGGTAGTCTAAAATAGGAATATTAGAAAACAGAGGGAATCCAATTATGCATCAGAGGTTCAGTTTATTCAAGAATGCCAGTGAAACAAGGGGGACAACACTGACATATAACACCCATACCACCCGCCCACAAAGGTCAGGAAAAGAAAAGTTGCAAGAAAGAAGATAAAAGAAGGGATATCTTGAGTAGCATCTGACTACCCTAATCTTATACCTAATGCTAATGGTCTAGCCTTGTACTGGAGTTTCACTGTGAAGAAATCTAGTGGGTCACTCACTTTCTAGAACAGCTTTCTTTTTCCAAAAAGAAAAGAAATGACGCACCTAAAACAACTGTCTATAAACAATAAGATCATTTTGGACTTGGATCTGAGAGCAGTATGACCCTAGGTAACAATATGGAGATCCATGGGAGGTCCACCAACATCACAAGATCCAATTCTACAAGGGCTGCAAATGATCAGTTTATCCAAATTGGAATTCAAATCCCATCCAGTTAAGAATATGGGGTTGGCTACAAAAACCTTGCTCCACCATTCTACTTAATACCAGCATTAGCAAAATCTAATATATATATATTAAAGGAAGGCTTTCAGGCTACAGCCCCCACCATTCAGACAAGTGGCTTTTTCAAATTTAGACACATGGCATTTTCTAAGGAGTTGTTAAAGCCCACAGCCCACTACCACCATTCAGACAAGTGGCATTCTCATTTTCTAGAAAGCTAGACACTTGGCAATTTCTGAGAAATTCCTGCTAAAGCCCACAACCCACTACCAAGCTACAGCCCCCCACCATCCAGAAACATGGCCTTCTCATTTTTCTGGAAAGCTAAACACGTGGCATTTTATAAGAAGTTGCTACTAAAGCCCACAACCCACTACCACCATTTTCAATCCATTCCTAAAAAATGCAAAAAATGAAAAAGTGGTTATCCACAACCACTTCTGCCTATATTCTATCTTAGTTAATCATTAACCCTCTGTTTATCATAACAAAAGAAAACTATCCATATTCTAATAATTATTAAAAAGCTATTTTTTGAAATAAATATTTCTTGAAATTTTAATAATTATTTAAAATATTAATCAATATAAATTTAACATTATTTATTCCATAATGTAAATATAACATTACTGATTCCCGGTACTTAGTGTGGGGCCATTCACTAGTAAAGAATTAAAAGGAACACCATAACAACTCAAACCAATAGCCTCACCTGTCCCTGGTTATCCTTGCTTGTAGCAACCAAGGGAAGTTCAGCAACTTCTCGTCCAAAAATACGAAGAATTCCAGCTGAAACCACAGATGAGCTAAAAAGTACAAGAAAAAGACATGAGAAAAGCTTACAATGAATTATTGCCAAAACCACAACTAGAAATAAATTCTTACTTTACTGTTAATACTGCACAATACATCCCTCCAAATTCTTGGTCCCTTAAATTCCTTCTGCAAAAAAAAAAAGAAAATCATATTTAGAGAGCATAAAGAACTTTTATGGAAAAAAATATATAACCAAATTAGTTCTTTTAAATGGATAAAGCAATAAGTTCTGATAAGTTAATTCCCAACATGCCACTGGATCCTGTTTCAATTTTCTCAATTACCTATCATATTTTCCTCTTTTACATGGGTAAAACAAAATCTGATTTCAACAATCCATAACACTGGCATGAAAATTGTCCAATTCATAGTATTCAATCTCCTAAATTGCAAACACAACAAACATCTACGAGAGAATACGATAATCTATTAAGCAGGGAAAATACTTATCCTTGATCATAGGTTTATCATGCATGAGAAGTACCATATAACAATCTGTAATTTAATCAATAGTATAATGAAGATTGTTGTTAAAGATAATAATTTTTAGCACAATTTTAACAAACTGCCAAATCTAAGGGTTTAAGTATAACATTTCAGCATAGAACTCCCTGAATGTAAAATCACTACATGTAAGTTCCTGAAGCTCAAAATTCAGCATAACATAGAGCTAAAAACAAAACTGCTACCAGTAAAAACATTACAAAAATTGAACACGTAGAAAATATCTGACAAGATACAAAGGAAAGTATCTTTGCTCACCCATAAACCATGGATGGAATAAGGTCACGACCTGTTGTTGAATCAACTATAGGATCAAAGCAGTCCTAAGAAACAAAGAAGAGACGCAAATAATCAGAAAATGACTAGCAATACTTTGCACATGCCAAATCAAATAACTAGATGAAGTCTCCATAAATTTAAAAAAAAAATGTCCAAAAGTTTGGTAGATATAAAAACAATAACCAAGAAAATAAATAACATAATTCATTACTAACAAATACATATAACATTTAAATCAATTGTTTTCTAGATGGAGCGCATCTTGCTTAGTTTCATTAGGTGAAAGAAAACACATCAATCAATTGTTTTCTAGATTTAGCTAAGGCACAAGCAAACATATGAAGACACACAGAAACATACGCCTACTGTTATTAATGACATTAATGAATTTATACCAGTCTTAACCAAGGTAATAGGGAAGCAGGGGCAGAAAGTCTACAGCCAGAGGATGGAAGGAAAACAAATATTTTTTTTATCTTTTCTGTAAAACTACCCCTTGTCAAGTAACCCCCAGTTATATCTTCACAGCAGTATCATGGGCAACCAAGGTCCATCTAGAGAAGGGGACTTTCAAAAATTCAAAGATACATGGGCACTATACTCAGGTCTAATAGCATGGATGACTCTACAAGGGAATAAGTAATTGCTGTCTGCAGGGCATTCAACTGATCAAGTCCATGAACTACAAGAATATTGTGACTGAAGGAGATTTGCATGTTGTCATAGGATGGCAAACGAATAATGGTGTAGAGACACTTATCAAAAGAAATAAATAAAAAATAACAATGTAGCAAGGTTCAAAATATTGATATAGGCAAATACGCCAGATGGAGCATATCGGCCTGTATCTTTAGAGTTTAGCCGCTATTTTTTTTAGTTTTTTTCCAAACCAGTTCAGAGGGTCGGTTAAGGCCTGTCAACCCGCTGAAATAGGTCAGACCTCGAAACAATTAGTATAGGGGTGTATTGGAGGGTCACTGATATGATACGTAGTGGCTGATATGCCCCGATAAAAGACAATTTTAATCCTTGATGTAGAGGCATAGAGATATAATTACATGGTGAGGGAGAGCAACTTGGCAGTGGAGTTAACATTTACATAAGTTGGATCCTGGATAAGCAAATACTGTAGCTGATGGGCTAGGCAAACAATGGGTAAATAACAGTGAAATGTACTGGGGAATTGTGAGTCAGGGATAAGGATTATATCATATATATAATATGTAAGAGGGTAAGCCGAGGCTATCTATCTTAGTTCATAACTTCATATATGATCAATAATGTAGATATTTTCTATTTTCATCAATAAATAAAACTTCACAATTATCAAGCAAAAACAAAGTTTCCAGGTAATGTAAGTTCCAGCAGGCATTGAATAGTTTTCTTTAAAGATGTTCCCATCTAGTAAGGAGTTCAATTTAAATTTAGTTTGCCATTGTTAAGTTTCATTTGGCCTTTAAACCTATCATTCTTTATTGTCTCCTGATAACCTTCATCACTTCCACTGCATGTCTTTGCCTCTGCTCTACTCATGTTCTTGGTCCTAATCAATCTAAATTTGATCCTAATGCTACTCGCAGTCTTTCTTGGTTGTTCTCCGACTCGAGAAGGATATTATTGTTTTGATCCATCTTCTAGCAAAAACCATGTCACCATGCCTGTGACCTTTTCGATCCCACACCCCTTTTCTTTCCCAAGACCTATCTTCAGTGGGAGAATGATGGAATTGTTGGTGAAGAGAGGCCTTTCCATTGACAATTCCCATTCATGATGCCAATCTTATTACATCTCCTAATTATGTTCTACTAACACTCCATGTGATGAATTTCAAGTAACCAAGAATAAAGTTATGGCCACCGAAAGTTTTCAATGCATTTTGAGTTGTATCTTGTGCACCAGCAGGTCAACCATTCAACTGCCCAGTTTGAACAGGCTTTGACCAAGTCAACAGTTTTTGGTCAGTTTTTGAGTTTTAGGAAAATCAGAACCAGAAATGCAACAGGGCGATGGTTTGAACAATTCAACAGTCTGGACCAAGAGCATGTTGGAAACATTTAAAAGCATCCAAGCAGCAACTTATTTGTTTCCTGATCCTCTTGATAGGAGGAAACATGATTTCTAACCACTAACAACCAAATATCTATTTAAGGCAAAGACAAGTACTTACATGGAATATAGCTACAGCCTTGGATAGCAACAATTTAGTTTCAGGAGAAGCATTTTTCCCACTAAGAAGTCTCCATCTTACATCAAGGTCAGCATCTGAACGTTGTTCCTCTGAACACTTTTCCTCATGCTTTTTCCTTATAATACTCGAAAGAGAGTCTGGGAGTTTCTCTGATCCACGGTCAAGCAACTTCTGCAAAGCAGAATGAATCCTACTGCAATCTGTACAACAAAACCACGTCCCTTTTGGCAATTCCTGTTGTATGCGTCAACATTTAAATCAACAGAACAAGGCCATCAGCACACTTGACAATAAAGGAATAACAACAACAAGATATTGCAGCATGGGAATAAGATAATAAATGATTGTGTGCACCTTTAGATCTGCCATTTTGTGCTCCCTCAGGCAACCAACATGAAATTCCTTCTCACACTGGGGGAAAAAGATAGATTAGTCAGGAGAAAAACTCAAATATAAGACATCCATTGAAACTCGTACATCTATGAACAATGCAGTTGACATATCAATATGAAAAATGAAGACATGAAAACAAGTACCTGATCACAAAGCAGAACCGTTCGTGGACCAAATCCTGACTTTGTAAATCCATGACCTCTACATAACAGAACAGCAGGGAAAAAGTATAAGCCCAAGCAAAACTTAAAAAAAAGGAGGGGGGGAACTAATAAAGAAAAAGCATGCACCTACAATGCTGAAATCAAATAACAAAAATTGCAATCATGGCATCACCAAACGCATAGACAAAAGAACAAAGTGCTGATAAAAACAGTATAGATTCAGGATTGTACATAGTATGATGTACAGGTTTTCAAGTTCGCAACACCCTCAGTTTAGCTCACCTGCATAAGACACATCCACCAACTTCATTTTCAGGTGTGTTGACAATACGAATGCATCGCTTGTTTATCTGCTCTATAGGATCAACTCCTGCAACTCTTCCAGCAGCCTTTGCATTGACACTATCAAATTTTTCCCTTTCAAACATATTTTGGCAATAATTGCAATACCAATCACCACGAGGAACACTTGATAAAGACAAACAATCTGCAAGAAGGAAATAAGAAGGAAAATAAAAACCACTAGTACTTGTACATCAAAAGGCATATAAAGAAAACGAAAAGTACAAAAGGCATATAAAGAGAATGAGAGTGCGCATGTTTTCGTATTGGACTTTCATAATGCCTTCCACCTTGGATAAATCATGAGGAAAGTTATAGCATATATTAGCAGTCCTCTCTTTCTCTTGCCCCTATCACCACATGCATCTCTTCCTCTGCCCATAGACCTCCTTTCCCCTAGCCTAACAGAGAAAGCTGAAACCCTCCAAACTCTTCTCAGCATCCACCACATCATCTTCCACTTGAATCATCTTATTATTCCAAAATATTTTTAATCACCTCTCTTACTTGCAGCTTAGCAGCAGCATTTTAAAAGAGCTAGGGCCATTTTGCACCCAAGTCATGCGCCTTTTTGAAGCAAGGCACAAAGTTGCAAAAGAAAATCCAAAAAATTCAAAACTGTCAAAAAATAAAAAAAAAGCAAAATAATAAAAATATTAAACACATTATTAATTAAAAATATAAACTTAAGTTTTAAAATAAATGCTTTAAAAAAAAGACCTATTATCTCAAATTAAAATATATAAACATAACATGTAAAACATATTTAAAATCAAGCATRACATATAAAACATATTCAAGCGTGTAAACTCTTAATCTCTTTATTTTTTCCCAATTGCATTACTTCAAATAGCTAATGTGATTTTAAACATTATGAATACCTAATTCTATGAGCTGCCTTTGTACCAAGCCCCTCAAGACAAGCTAAAAAAGTCCATATCAGGGTCTTAAATTCTTAATACCTATAAAAAAGGTTTTATAACTGTAAGTATCTTTTAAAAATATTTTTTATTAGGATGAATGAATGAGTGGCATTAGCAAATATCAGATTTTCAGAGCCTGTGCTGAAGCGCAAGGTGCACCAGACGTGTGCCTTTTGAAAATGATGTGCCTAGGACCTAGGCGAGGCACATACCCTAAGATGTGCCTTATCTGTGCGCCTAAGCACGCCTGAGGCCAGCCTTTTAAATCACTTCTTAGCAGTAACCCAGAAGTCAAACTCCCCTTCAAAAACAGGCTTAGACTAGCTCAAACTCACCTTCTCACAACCAGCTCTACAGCTGTAGGTCTTAAACTAAGAGATGTTGACCAAATCCATTCCTCAACAGACCCCAAGAGAAGGTTTAACAAGAACTTTAAAAGGCAATGAAAGGCTCTGGGGAAAAAACAGGTGACCATTAAGCTTATAACTTATTAAAGATAGGCACATCATAAGGGACAAGCCTCAAACCTTGATATGCCTTGTAAGAAAAGGTATTTCATAGGCCAATCTATGTAGTGTTCTCATAGAGGAAGGCTGCAGACAGATATAAAGAAGATTATCAAGAACCTTTTGCACCAATTGCAAAGATGACTTCAATAAGGGTATTGACATATCTTGCTATGCACTTCTCTTGTCTACACATCCAACTAACTGTTAAAAATGTCTTCTTAAATGGGGACCTTCAAGAATAGGTCTATATGCTGCCACCATTAGTGTTCCATCTCCCAGATAGTAAGGAGAAACTTTGTAAACTCAAGAAGTTGATTTATGAACAAAAACAGCACCTATGGCCAGGTTTGATAGAATACGAAGAACTGTGCTGCACCTTGGTTTTGTTTAGCCTCTTGCTGACTTTACTCCTTGTTAAGAGGGAGGAAAGGTTTGCTCACTACAATGATTGTCCATGTGGATGATATAGCTATCACAATTCACAGGTAACAATTTGAGTGAGAATAATAGGTTGAAGAACTTTCTAGTAACAATTTTGAAATCAAAAACCTTGGCCATCTCAGATATTTATTGGCCATAGAAATAGCTTGATAATGAAAGGAATCTTTATCTCAGAATGTAAGTATGTGTTAGACTAAGATCTCTTAAGGGTTGGATGTCAAATCAGCTCCAAATCCTATTGATCCAAATAACAAAATAAGTACTGATAATGGAGATTTGTTGAAGGGCAGAGGGTTGTATACTTGTATCAAAGGCTGGTTTGACACCTATTTTATCTATGTATCATATACCCAAGTATCTAAATGTGGCAAGTGTGACTAGCCAATATATGCATCAGCCTAAACTATCTCGTCTTGAAGCAGCCATGAGTATCCTTGTGTATCTCAAGGGCACTCCAGGAAGGGGAATTCTATTTACATATCACGGTCACTTGAAATTCAAAGTTCACTGATGCAAATTGGGCAGGTAGCCTAAAAGAAAGGCATTCTACTTCAGATTTCACAAACGGATCATCCAGGCCAAGACTTACAAATTTACTTTGTGCAAACTCAGCTTGATGTGAAATGTTGAAAGGTTATGTAGAAGGATACTTTAGATTCTTACTAATAATGGAGGGCATTTTCACTATAAATAATTAAATACTAAGGAGACGGGCACAAAGCCCACATATTTGCTCTCTATTCTTTTTCTTTCTCTCCTCTTTTCTCTTCTTCTTCTACTTCTTTTATATATTTTCTCTTGTTGTAATCTTATACTGCTGCAGATACAATCCAATCATAAATTAAATGTCCAAAGCCAAATAACAAATCCAAATATGTTAGCTAAAGACAGCCAAAACACCATGCCTAACATTGTGATCATTGAGAACACATTGAAACAGCAGAAGGAACAGAATTATGACCACTAGTTACATAGACAACACAGACAAATAAAATTGATAAAATTATCATTGCAATAACTCTTATAATACCATTCCAGCCACTCCACACCTAGTTGTTCTAATATGAAAATAGCTCCAGATTTTTTTTTGTCTGTAAACGATCTAGGAAAGAACACTTCCAAATAGAGCAATATAGAGAAAAACTAAATAATAAAGGCAATGCCCTCATAATGTGACAAGCAAGTCAAACCAATCAAAACAGGGATCCTACAGGGATAGTGCCTCTCAGAATCAAAATGCAGAAGACAAGTTTAAATGGCTATACCATATCGGACAAATGCAGTGTGTTCCAAGGAAAACAAAAGGCTGTAAACTATCGAGTGTGAAATACATCAGTTGGTTGTGGAGCTGCTCACTGAGTAAAAGGAACATATTCTCAGGTTGCAAGCATAGCTGGAAATTGACAGCCATTTTAATACAGAACCACCTTTCACTTCACAAATAGCTATCCTTCTCAACTTTCCCTTCCTCAAGCTATCAATTAGCCTTACCTTAGGTCATTCATATTGCACGTTGAACAGGTACAAACCTTAATTCTTATAAAGACCTAAGGAAAGATAAATATTCAGTTATTGATAGAAACCAAAAACTCACCTTTGTGAAAGGCCCTGGGGCAGTTATCACAAAGCAGAAGATCCCCACCATCTGCACAAATGCTACACAGGTCATCATTGTCATTGGCTGAAAACTTCCGACCTTTAGATAGAGACACAGCCAATTCATGAAGTGACACTCCATTGGATGTGAAAATATTTAGATACCTGTCCAGTACCAAACAAGCACAAGTTAAGAAAAAAATCGGAGTGACATGAATTTACCCAAATGCTTCAACTTTCAAATAACAACTTACGGCTTGCGACGGGAAGCCCAACCAGCATGACCTTCAAACTGTGAGGCACTGACCTGCTCATTAGAAGTATAGAAAGTGAATGTCCTTACTAAAATTCAGGACAACACTAGTTCAGAAAATAAAGGAAGTACTTAAGTGTTTCAAAAAAAATAAAGTTACCTCAGTGTTGCAGCAACGACAGAATATTCCAAAACCTTTTTTATAACCTTCAAGCAATTTCTGTCCAACAGGAGGATGCTCATTAATTAGTACACAAAAAACAATAAAAAAGAAGATTCACTGGCATTATGCTTAACATAACAACCTGTCCACGTGCATAATATGCTACTTCAGTTCCATCAGGTAGCCCACCATCCTCAAAGACTAATTTATGCAATCGTAAATCTCTGGAGAACACCTCCAAAATTAACTACGTTTAATGAGTTTGCAACAAAAACAGCTAATAAGAACACATTTGACATATGAACCATCAGTATATAAATCCACATCAAGAAAAGAATACCAACTTTCTTGTAAGCCTCCCTTTACTCTTGGGAACAGAAACAGCCTTCAAAGCACTGTTAGAGGACTTAGGAGTAACAGCTGATTTTGATGACCTGATGCAACCCCATACACAAAAGTAATATTAAAATAAGTCAGAGGAAAGAAGCACATTAGGAGCTGCAACTTGGATATGTTGTTCAGTAAATAACCACTTCTCAGGCATTTTATAACAAAAGAACCCTAATTTCAGTTTCAAAGTGGCATTTTCACTTGAAATCAGATTACAGAACAATAACTCTTACATACATTCTTTTTTATCCATAGGTTGTGACTTTTTTATTGATTCCATAGGTTAGACATTAGAGAACTAAAAGTTAAAAACACCAGGGAAATAAGGCAGTTTCTCGATTAGGGTAGAAGAAGCAATATGCAACAGAAATGAATTCATAAATCAAATAACTTCCGAAGTTCATACTTTGGCTCCAAAAGAAAACAGATTGTTAGCAATTTTTTCTGCCGTTTATCAATTTTGGGATCCAGCAGTCAGACGTTACTCATTCCACTTTCCACCCACTTTCACTTTCCTTACTGCATTTGGGGTTCAGTCCATTTCTAATGCCTTATTTTGGCCTCATTTGGGATTGCTCCTGGGGAGCACTTACTGTGACATCCTAGATGAGGAAGAACTTCATGTTTCAACGGTATTTGGAAACAAATAGAGAGAAAACATGTTGAAGAATCTGGAATAACAGAACCAATTTTCTTCAAAAGCAGTTACAAAGTCATAATTCCAGATTTTGGCTTCTTCAAGAACCAACAAGTTTAATATGTGCTAAGATTGTATCGGTTCCACTTAGGCTGTATTTGGCATGCTTTCAGAGAATTATTTCTGATGAAAGAATGCCAAACACAAACATTGCTCTAACTGCAAATCTAGATTCTAGACATCCACCATCCTCTGTCCAGAATAAATAAGCACAGATGTACAATTGTACATGTAAATACCTCTCTTAGAGGACTTGCCAGCATCCTCCAATCCATCAATGTATAGGTTTATATTGTGCTTACTCACTCTGTTTCCATGCTATTCGGTGTTTGGAAGGCAGCTATGGATAGGTAACTCATGATTCATTTGCTTCAACCACTTTGTATTGGCAAGAATCAAGAGTCGGGCATAATTATAAGCTTGTGACATAAAATGGTTGGTAGCATATGGGGAAAAGTAATTAGTTTCTAGTTTTTTAGTACACATCAAAGCTTAAGACTTTTAAGGTACTAGGCAGTGTTTTAAAAGCACAAGGCGCAAGGGCCAATTTGCACATGAGGCGCTTTTAAGAAAGGCGCAAAACTACAAAAAAAAAAGCTAAAAATAAAAAAAGGTCAGAAAATTCAAAACAATGCCAAAAAAATTCAAAAAATATTAAACATAATGTTAATAAAAAATATAAACAAATTTTAAAATAAATGTTTTAAAAAACCAATTATCTAAAATTAAAATACATAAACATAACATGTAAACTGTATTCAAATGAAAATTTAAAAATAAAAGCAAACATATAAAGCATTTTCAAGCATGTAAATGCGCCTCGCCTATGCGCATACCCCAAAATGCGCCTCGCTTATGCGCCTAGGCACGCCTTTTAAATCACTGGTACTAGGTTGATTTTGAGAACGGTGCAAGAGATACCAAAGTTTCCAATTGCGATGGGGACTTCACATCACAGATCAACACCTATGACCTACCAATGATTGTTTGCAATTGTTATGGATGAATCAACTAAACATATTCAGGAGGAGATCCCATGGTGTATGTTGTTTGCCGATGACATGGTATTAATATATGAAACTATAGATGGATTAACAATTAGTACGAGGAAATGTCTTAGAAATAAGATATTTTAAAATAAGACTAAAACCAATGATTTAAAAGGCGCGCCTAGGCGTACAGGCGAGGCGCATTTTGGGGTATGCGCCTCGCCCAGGTCCTAGGTGCACCCCTTTCAAAGGCGTACACCTGATGCGCCTTGCGCCTCAGCCTAGGCGTGCAGCTTTTTAAAATTTTGCGCTTTTTGCTGTTTTTTTAGTCTAACAACTAGGCCAAGGGCTCCGCCCCTGGACCCCTGACCACGCCCCTCGAGGCAAGCCCGAACAAGTCTATGTTAGAGTCTGTAATTCTTATTTATCACATAAAAATAATGATTTTATAACTTTCATTGCCTTTTAAGAAGATGAAAGTTATAAAATCATTATTTTTTTATGTGAGAAATAAGAATTTCAGACCCTAACATAGACTTGTTCGAGCTTGCCTCGAGGGGCGTGGTACAAAGACAACTCATAGAATCAAGAATGCAATATGTTTTACATTACATTAGCTACTTGAAGCAATGCAATCAAGGAGAAAAAAGAGATTGTGGGTTTTACATGCTTGAAAATGCTTTATATGTTTGCTTTTATTTTTAAATTTTCATTTGAATACGCTTTACATGTTATGTTTATGTATTTTAATTTTAGATAATAGGTTTTTTTAAACATTTATTTTAAAATTTATGTTAATATTTTTTATTGACATTATGTTTAATATTTTTTGCATTTTTTTAATTTTTTTTGGCATTTTCTTGAATTTTCTGACTTTTTTATTTTTATTTATTTTTTAATCTTGTGCTTTTCTTAAAAAGGCGCGCGCCTATATATATATATATATATATATATATATATATATATATGTATGTATGTATATGTATATGCACACACACACACACACGAAGATTAAGTTCAATAATTTAATCTTTTGTGATGGGAAGAATAAAAATGGGATTGGAAACTTGAAGCTAGTGGTTAGCCTCTTTGAAAGAATGTCCAACTTAAAAATCAACCAAAATAAGAGTGTAGTGGTGGGTATAAATGTTCTTGAAGAGGAGTTGGGATCATTTGTAGAGATTCTATGGTGTGAGAGAGGTGAGTGGCCTTTAAAATATTTAGGTTTACCTCTTGGTGGCAATCCGAGATCTATCAACTTTTGAAACCATGTGGTGGAGAGAATTGAGAAAAAGCTTGTGGGATGGAAAACAAATTACATCTCTTTAGGGGGAAGAATTACATTGATCAAATACACCTTAGCTAACCTCCCAATCTATTTCATGTCTATTTTGAGGATGCCTCAAGCTATTGAAGAGAATAAAAAATTTGATGAGAGACTTCTTGTGGGAACCAGGAGATAGAAAAAAAGATCATTTGGTTAGGTGGGAAGTGGTAAAAAGGAAAGAAGAGGGTGGGTTGGGTCTAGGAAACATAGGGAAGAAAAACCTTGCTCTTTTAAGTGGTTGTGGCACTTTCCCTTGGAAAAAGATAGATTGTGGCATAAAGTGGTTGCAAGTATTCATGGGCTTTCTAGCAACTGTTGAGAACCAAGCTACAACATAGAAAGCAGTGCATGGTAGTCTACCTCAATTCCTTGAGCACATCAGGTATGATTTGGCTTCTGGTAATAGGATCAGATTTTGGGAAGACGTGTGTGGGCTTGGGTTCTCCCTTTGAAAGTTGGGTTTCCTTCTTTGCATGCTTTGTCAAGCCTTAAACAAAATCATGTTTCTGATTTCTTTGGGTCTTCTTCTTCCTCTAGGGAGGATTGGAATTTGGAGTTTGTGAGAAAACTGAGAGAGTCTAAAATCCCTTCAATGTCTAACCTTTTGAATAATCTTGGATAGCCTAGTTTTTTATGAGTTTGGGGAAGATAGACGGTTGTGGGATCTTAGCCCCTCTAAGTCGTTTACTTAAAAATCCTTTTTTTCTCTTCACTAGTGGCCGCTACCCAATCTCATTCCTTGCCTATAAAAGAAGTCCGGTGTGCCCTATCCCACCAAAAGAAAAGACCAAATTAATGTTTGTCTCCCAATTGGTGCACTTTGTGTGTAAGTTGAATGGTGAGAATACTTTCCATCTCTTAATTTCTTGTCCTTTTGCTTGTATTTGGGAAATGGTTCTACTCTCTCTTTGGTTGCAGGTGGATACCTCTTGTTAGTTTGGAAAATCTCTTTAGCCCATACTTTCTAAGAATCACAAAAGGAAGAGGCAGAATTTTGTAGAAATGTGCTAGAGCAGCAATTGTGTGAATTGTTTGGGAGGAAAGGAACTTACGAATATTTGAAGATAAAGAAAGAAGCAAGTAATCTTGGAGACTATTACAGTTAAGAGTTGCTCATTGGGTGAAGACTATCAAACTATTCTCTGATTTCTTAGTGGAAGACTTTTTTTTCAGAAACCGAGGGTTGATTGCCCTTTATTCTTCTAGGAATCAAAAGATGTGAGGTTTGGTCTCCCCCAAGTGAAGGTTGGTTGAAGCTTTACTTTGATGGAAATAGCTTTGGTAATCTGAGACCCTCTGGATCTGGAATTGAAGGAGTGATTAGGGATGAGCATAGGAACATTTGTGGCTTGTTTCTAGGTCCTAATGAGCAGGGTGGTTCAGTGAAAGCTGAGGTCATGGCAGCTATTGTTGGGCTGCAAAAGGCCAAGGAAATGGGAATTACAACATTGATGGTAGAAGGGGACTCAAAAGTAGTCATTGGCTAGCTGAAAAAAGGAGGAAGGGTATGACACACAAGAAATGATTTCAGGCGGTTCAAGATGTTGTCAAGACATGCAAATTCAGTTAAGATGGGTCAGGAGGTAATGGTTTGACAGATGGATTAGGTAAACAAGGAGTGAATAGACATAATTTGTTTTGCGCTCAATGTTAGTTGGGTGGGGGGAGTGACGGGTGTTATTTCTAACAACTTCTTGTTGTACTTTTCTCATTTTAAAATCTAATAGAATTCTTTGAATTGTTGATCAAAAAAAGACTAATATTAATAATAATAATAATAAAATAGAAATCTGTTGAATTAATTCTTGAAGAGAGGAGTAGAGAAGAGAAGAAGAGAAGTTGAAAGAAAAGAGAGCAATGATCTGGCCGCCCCCTTTACTTATCATTTATACTAAAATAAAAGAACAGTACAAAGACAACTATGCCCTTATAGGGCGACAAAACATAAAACAACATATATAACACTCAAAAAACATAATAAAATTTGGACTCACATAACTACTATGGTCCCCACCTCCTATCTAACAACTA